AAAGGGAAGGGCGACATATTGGAAGTGGCGGTGGTTGTAGCAGAACCTGAGGAATTTGAAATGGGAGGGTCGGATTGGAATGTGGAGGTAGGCCTCGGAGAGGTCTATGGAGGATAGCCAGTCCCCTTGGCGGATGCTGAGGAGGATGGACTGCAGGGTGTGCATCTTGAACCTGCGATAGACCAGATAACGGTTAAGGCGTTTAAGGTCCAAGATGGCCCTCCATCCTCCGGAGGATTTGGGGACTACAAAAAGGTGGGAGTAGAACCCCTGCCCCCGCTGGGAGGGTGGGACGGGTTGAATGGCCTGTATTTGGAGAAGATGATGGATTGCTGAATCCATTAGGTTGCGTTTGATGGGGTCCCTTGAGGGGGGGGACGCCAGAAAGAAGTCAGGGGGGGCGCTCTTGAATTCGAGCGTGAGGCCAAGTCTGATGGTATCACGGACCCAGGTATCAGAGGTGGAAGAGTCCCATCGGTCGGCAAAGTGCTTGAGGCGACCGCCAATGGGAGGGGAGGGACGGGATCTATCTACGCCGGAAGGGCCTCCCTCCTGAGCCCCTGAAAGGGCGCCTGTAGCCGCTGCCCCTCCTGTTCCTATCGGCCGGATCGGTTCGATCCTGGGGCTGGAACGGTCGGGAGGAGGGGGGTCTCGAGTACCTTGGCGGGAAGGGAGACTGGTAGAAAGGACGGGAGGAGCCTCTCCGAAATGGCTGGGGGCCTCTAGACTCTGACCTCCGAAACAGAGGAGGGAGAAATTTTCTCTTGCTCCGGGTTTCAGATAGCAAGGGGTCCAGAGCCGTGCCAAATAGTTTGTCCCCTTTTATGGGGGCAGTAGCCAGCTTAACCTTGTTTTTAACGTCCGCCTGCCAGTGTTTAAGCCAGAGCAGGCGGCGAGCAGTGACATGGGACGTTATTGCCCGGGCAGAGAACTTGACCGCATGGAAGGTGGCGTCAGCGGAAAATTCCGCCGCGGTCGTCAGTTTTGCTATGTCCTGGTGAGCCCTTGTGTTGGAGGGGGGAACATGTTGCTTCAGTTGCCGAAGCCACCGGATCGAGGATCTGGTGAAGAAAGAAGCCGCAGTGGCTGATCTAATGGCCCAGGAGTCCGCTTGGTGAGCTCTACGTAGGGCGAGCTCGGACCTCTTGTCCTCGGGTTTCAGAGCCTCTAGGGGGTCACTGGGGGAGGACGAGGAGGCCAACCCAACAATGGGCTCATCCACCTCGGGGGTGTTGAGTAAGTCACAGAAACTCGACTCGAGGTTAAAGAACCTCCTGTCCAGGCTGGATGGGGCGGGAGGGGCCCTAGTAGAATTCAGTTGATTTGAGACCAGGTCATGAAATAGGGGTGGAGCCGGGATTACCTCCGCCTCCACCACGGGTTGACTAAAGATGGCGTCCTCCTGACCTTCTGCCGGGGAGGGGAGAGCTGAGGAGGTTTGCACCGACAGGCCAGAGATGTTCCTGGCTTTGAATAAAAGGGATTTAAACATGTGGGGCTTGAACAGGCCCGCAACAGTGGGTTGGTCCGGGGTGAGACCCTCATCCTCGGACATGTCCCCCTCCATAGGATCTACCTCCGATAGGGGCTCCTCTTGTTGCATAGACCCCCATTCCATTTCCTCTTCCCCCCCAAATTGGTCTAGATACTCTATATCCTCCTCCGGTTCCCTTTCTGGGAGAGGACTGCCCCCTTGAGAAGGTACCTGACCACGAGTAGGGTCCGATCTAGGCGAGGACCTCATTGATGGTGGGTCGTGTTCGGGCGCCAGTGAGGGGGGAGTAGACCTGGACATCTGTTGAAGGCCCTCTGCTATCCCCTGGCGAATGGCCCGTTCCATCAATGCCTGTATGTGCACAGGGATCTCAGATGAGAGGGCCTCCTCCTGGCGAAGACCAGCGGCCGTGGGCGTGAAAGTAGCTTCAGGAGGTTGTCTGGTTGATGGGCCGGGAGCCTGGTGTCCCTGGGATGGGCTGCGCCTGGAGACGGAAAAACAATCTGGAGGAGGGGGGGTGTCTGGAGGTAGAAGGAGCGGAGGGTGCTGGAAGTACCGGTTGTGTCTCTCTGGACCTCCTGTCAAATTCCCTCTCGAGAGCCCTGTGACGTCGTAGGGCGTCTCTCTGAGAAGCCTTAGAGGTCTCTTTAGGTGTTTCCTTAGGAGTTTCCTTAGGAGTTTCCTTAGCCTGTTTGCGCAGGTGGTAGGATTTGGATTTGGCCTTCAAAGAAGGGCCTTTGGTGGGAATGTCATCTGCCATTGTACAAGAAAGGACAATAATACAGTTAACGGCGGTTGGCTCGCCAAGGGTTCGACCTACAACAAAGGTCGGGTGTCCTTTCAGCTGGCCCACACCCCCTTTTGGAATTTAGATGTATAAATTCTGTAATAAAGATGTTGAAATAATTCTTAATACTTATCTGCACAAGCAGGATAACAATCCAATGAGACTTGGAATGCTAAGGTAAAATATCAATAAGAAAAAAATTACAGGAATAAACTCACTCAGGTCTATCTATATGTGAGTATAAATATAAACCTATATATGAGGAAATATCTAGACCTGCATACAGGCAGATATTCCAATGTCTATTAGAATTAGAACTATTGTTAATATTCTTGTTCTAATATTATTATTAGTAATATATGATTATTATTAATATTATTATTATTATAATTATTATTATTGTAATTATAAATATTATTATTATTATTACTCTATTAATGAAAGATTGCCAATTATCCGAATTAAACGCCTGAGGCTGGAAGAGAGGCCTCTGGCAGCTGGAGCTCCCAGGCAACAACCGGGAGGGATAGGCTGCAATCACTTGCCCTGAGCGTGCTGCGGGAAGCCAACAATTACTAAATTGTACCAATTAGCAAAGGCCCTACAGGCTGAGAGGCCTGTGCTAGGACCGGTTACTTCGCAGCTCTATGAGGCCTCAATCTTTTTATTTTATTTTATTTTTTAAAGATGGCACCCGCCACGTGGTGGTGCCCTAGAGGCGATCGCCCACGTTGCTAAAGTCCCGGGCTGCTCAGGGCAATGAAGTTTTTTACTTCTCCGGCCTTAAAAGAGGCCGAGGAAGCCAAGCAGTAAGTTTTCGCCCCTTCTTAGGGCGAGCGGCGTTTGCGGTGGGGGGAAATACCAGCAGCACTTATCAGTGCGATCAGTAAAGCTGCTGCAAGCGCAGCGAGAGAAACGGCAGGCAAGAGATCAAATTGGGGGGGGGGGAATTAGCGCCGAAGCGCGAAAGTCGCCCGTTCTACAACCCCCCTGGGGGCGAAAGAAACGCGCTCCCCTTAAATCCCCAGTCCTGCGCCAGAAGGCTAAGGAAAATAACTTGTTTTTCTCTATAAATATTTCCAAACCTGAGAGCAAGTCTTGGATCGGCCAAGGAGTGAGAAATGCACAGCCTAACTTGACGACGGCTGAGCGCAAACTGGGGAACGCAAGAGAGCCACGTGATGGAGGGCGGAGCGTTCCTCAGTGATTGAGCTCAGCCATCAACGACGTAGACTGAAGCACCTCCCACTCTCTGGATGATCCGAACGGCTCTCAGGAGAATGTATAAAGTATATGCTTTTCACTTTTTTGGGTTCTTAAATATCTTCATGTAACTAAGTGATTTACAATCACACTATCACTTCACATTTTAGACGCAGAGTGAGACCTTCAGCAATTTCAAAATAGATCTGTTGAGAGGCAGGATTAAATTGTATTAAGTTCTTCAAGAGTCTACATTGCTTTCTAGCTCCCATAGTAGTGTTTCTCACTCTTGGTTATTTTAAGATATCTGGACTTCCATTTCCAGAATTCCCCAGCCAGCAAGGCCGTGTGATCAGGAAGCAGAAATCCCTTTTTGTGTAGCACTAGAATGCTTGTTTAACTTCAGATAATGCCCTATTCCTGAGGCCATGACTTCTATAATTATATTAAGCAATACAATTATCCTGCAACATCAGTATTTTCAGTAATCTGCATTGTGAAATTTACCTTTATTTGAATGCTTTTAATTCCACCTTCAGATCTTGGTTGGTAGTTTTAGCAATTTCTACCGCCCTCATTAGTTTTAATCATTACTTTCAAAAATACTTTTAGAAATTCTGTTCTCACTGCAATAGTCTCATAAATATTGTTACCATTTGATTATTCATTGAGTGTCAACACCTCTGGATAAAGTTATTTTGCAAAATATAATAATTAGAGTTATACAAGGAGTGTCCCATCTAATTTGTAGCCAAATGCTCAACTTGGAAGTGTTTCAGGCTACTCTGCATTTATCTGAGTAGCCTGTCCCTATTCATTCTTTATTCTATTTCTCAAGAAAACCATAGCTTCTCTCTTCCATTCTCCAGCAAAAGGTTAGAATAAGGAGTAAAATAAATTACCTAAGGACTTTATATACAAAATGAGATATGGCCCTGTTTGAAGATGTTCCCATTCTAAACTGGATTTAAAGTTCATTCCTAATTGAAGTACAGAACAGTATTCACCACACCCTTCAACATAATAGCATTAATATTGGCAATAGGACAGAAACTGTACTATAACTGTAATCCTCACATAGCAGTACATTTTTTTTAGCTTTATGGCATTTGAACACATCAGTGAACCATTGCCCCTCTTCTCTTTTGGATTTATAAAATATTTTACACTATTTATTAAAGCAGGAATATCAGTTAGAAATTTACTAACTTATATGTTTTTCTCATTATGTATGTTTGTGTTCTACACAATTTTCTTGAAATAATATACAAGGCATATTATTCAATATTGTGACATTTTCAAAATGTTTCTAATCTTCAGGAGAATGTAAGCATACGAATAACCTACACTGAAATTATAAACAACCCAGAAATTGTGAATAAAGCTTTCTAAAGATAGATCCAACACGGTAGAAAACATTTTTTAAGCTTAAGTAAATCCATGTATTCACAGTGCGCCTAGCTGTATTCCTTTTATTGGTCCTCAGGGTACCATAAAGACAACTTAGCCATTTAGTAGGTTATAAACATTTTTAATTGTACCAAAATCACATTACATGAGGACAGTTAATGCATAGCTCACAATTTTAAATCTATTAGCAGAAATGTTCTTTAAAATGAATAAAAAGTGCAAGATATATAGTGCAAGTTTAGCTAAGAGGAAATTTGCTTTCATTTTGGAATGTATTTTATTTCCACTTTTGCTGAAATGGAGGGATGTTCCTAGATAACCAACTATCAACACTATTCTCTCAAAAGACATTGTGCAATTATTATAGGTTTTCCTCTTCTATGAGGAAAACAGTATCATCTGGACCCACTGTGAAACGTTAGTAAGTACTAATGGCATAATAAAAGCTTTGCCCAGAACAGGGGTGTCAAACTCGCAGGCCCACGGGCCGGATGCGTCATGTGCGGGTCCCTCCCCCACCCAGTTTAGCGAAGGGAGGAAAGTCCCAATACATCACGTGATGCCATGATGATGCGAGTTTGACACCCTTGGCCTAGAAGCTTTTGGTTTTAAAAATAAAAACAGATTTATTTAAAGGCACTTTTGTCAAACAAACAATTTCAATAAGGAATGTACACATGAAATATTGGTTCCAAATTTGTTCCATTGATTTTAAATTCCAATTATGTAAAATAAATGCATGAAACAACATAACTTGTAAGGAAAATAATCCTATGTAAGCAAGCCAGCACAAAAAGAAGCATCATAATATGTGACTAACAACAATACATTGCTTTTGGCATAAAAATGCCAGCATGGATACAAACAAGACTGCAGATCTATGTAAATGCCACACAACTGGAAAAAGGCACAAGGCATGATTTGAGATTCTGTCCTCTGTGTTATTGTAGACTTCACTCTACTAGTCTTCTCCTCCACACAGCAGCAGAAGCCCATTCCTGTAGTCACCAGAAGTATCTTTCTAGAAAGGATCAACCAACAATGAGTCCATAAATTCTCATAAAAGGACCGTTTTTTCTAGTATTGATATTTGTATGACTATACTAATCATATGATGTACACATACTATTAAGTATTTTTGTTCATCAGAAATCTACAGCTGCAAAACCAACACCATCTACAAATACTACTAGTAGTAAATGATAAGTTCTAACAAAAAAAAGTTTAAATATGCTGTTGCCTTTGATAAAATGCCTACACAGGAACCAGTATTTGGGTAGGCCAAGCGGGAATGATCAGGTGTGTCAGATTCAAAGTCACCTTCAACTATAGAAGCCATAGAAGCTAATTAGGTGATTTGGGAGCAATCACTATATCCGCCCTAAATGCCACAGAGTTGTGGTGGATATAAATCTTGAGCTCATAGAAGAAAAGTGGGACATACATTTTACATATAAATAAATAATAAAATAAACTATGATTAAAATTCTTTAACTAATCTAAGCAGAAACAACTCAAAGCTTGGCAGACTATAAAACATACATACTCTTTAAGAAAATTATCACATGAAGCAGCAGTATTTTCTATTACAAATAATGTTAATTAATAATCATGGGTAAGGTAAAATTTACCTGAATTACATGGTGCAAACTTTTTGCAAAATCCCTTCTGAATGCCTGCCTGATATCAAGTAGATCTTTTTCACTCCTTGAAACCATAATTCTGATCAATGTATCATCATCAGTGCCTGCTCCCTAGTAAAACAAAGTTAAGCAATCAATGAAGGGTACTGGGCAGTAATTCTACCAATTCCCATTACTTAATTCTTTCTGCTGGAGTCACTGAGACAAAATGTCTTATTCAACAAACTACAGTTAAAACTAAACAATGACTTAGCATGATGAATGAAATTTTTGCAACTCAAGAGGAACAATTCATTTTTAATTGTTATTGCTTTAATAACAAAGGTTCTTAAACTGTTGGACCCAATGACCCATTTTCCCAGCCTTCAATAGTGTCATTATCCTCATAAAAAAACCCAGACTCTGTCAATGTCACAGTAGGGACAACCCCAAACTGTATTCTCAACTTGCTAACAAAGCAATTAAAAATTGGTCCATTAGCTCATTAGCCCAAGTCATTCAAAGTCTTCTAAACCACAAGATGAATGGGAAATAAATTTGATAAATAAAAAATATATACATTAGCCCTTGGAGAAAATTACCTTCAGTTTTAGAATCCCTGCTGTAATGCAGCTTCAAAAAGAATTTAAAACATGGGAATGTAGGTAAAATAAAAATTGACAAAACAAAAAGAGCAACAAAAGTAAAATACAGTATGACTGCTGCTACATAAAAATTGCTGAAAGTTTTTAAACAACATATTGAAAATGAATTATATAATGAACACCTCACATCAGATCAACTAATAATTATCACTCAATACTCAAATGTACATTTCAAATACTACATTGTATATGTTACAAACACCAAGAGAGCTGGAAAATCCACAAAATGAAATGTTTTCCTCATTTCATTTTATTGGCTCCTTTTTAAGTATCTCCAAGAGTAAACTGAAATGTAAAGTTCATTGATCACAATGAGCCTTATTTCTGAATAAATATACATGGAATAAATAAAGACAAAATATTTGTGTTCAAGATAGTAACTTAGATATTGTCAGTCAGATTCTTTAAATAGTAGTTAGCAGTGCTTGAAGGTGTTGATTTTTTTTACAAATGATCAATACTTACTTTCATTGCATAAAAGAGACATTCAGCAAAATAGGCAGGAACACTTCGGACACACTTCACTAGAAGAAGGGAAACAATTTATTTGAATCACAAAATATTTTAAAATTACTTTATCAGATAGCTAACAGGTGTATAAATGGCATTTATTCCCCTAAACACAGCAAAGTAGTTTTCAAATATTTACAATAAACTTGACCTACAATTTCTATCACACATTATTATCTATTTAAACTGGGAATTTAATAGGCACAACCCTTGACAATTCTCTGATCAGAAGTATAGTGTAATCTTTGACATTGGATTTGCCTAAAGAAAACCCAGGTTAGTGCTTCATTTAACCGAAGGGCTCATGAATAACTTTAAGCAGTTGTTTTCTTAGTCCAACCTTCCTTATAGTAGAGGAATTGCACCACCAATACTTTGTGCTATTGGGAAGTTTAATATAACCGGATCTCCAGCTTATAGCAGGTACAAACCAGTGAAATATGTCCTTGGGAGATAACCGTTAAGTGCCAATTTAACAGAATACTACAATGTTACTTACTAGCAGAGAGAGAGAGAGAGAGTGGGAGGGAGGGAGGGAGAGAGAGGGGGGGAGCTATCTGTGTCATGCATAGCAACATGCTTATCACCATCAAAGTTCAAAGTCCGGTCAAAGTTCAGGGAACTTTGAGTTGGTTTGTCCTTTTATAAAGGCCAGTTCTTGGCTAACATGACCATGCCACTACCCTCTTCCATAACTGATAACTAAGCAGGAATTTCACAATGAAAGGGGCTTCATCTGAGCAGTTGCGAGGCAGAAATGGTGACACTGCTTAGGAATCATCAACTATTTGGGGGGAATTAGCTGTGCTTTGGAGCATATTTGTTCCAAAACCTATCTGGAGCACAAACAGCCACACAGCCACTAATCATGCCACTACTGACTATGGGTGCCAGCTGCTCCTTGCATGGCATGACCATCCATTTCGCAGTTGCTCAGTCCAGTGCCTCTTGGGCTTGCAACAAGGGGGTTTATACCGTATCTATAACTTACAGAGCAATAGAAATGTCTTCAATGCAGCAGCTTAGTCCAAAGACTCTGTAGCTTGTCTGAAGATCTTCCAGATTGGGCAACTTTGGAGTATAATGTCAGCAATCCATAAACCACCCAGCCTGGAAGTTCTTTGGTCAGAGCTGCAAGAAAAAAACTGACAGGAAACTTCTCCTACAACACTGAAGTGATTTGAGGCCACCCACTTAGTTAATAGAATCTATGTTACTAGATAACGCAGGCCTAGTGTAAACAAGCTTAAGATTCATCAAGAATAGGACTATACATTACCAATTGCCAGAAGCAGCTTTTCAAGTGGACCAGATGTTTCACGATCAATTGTTTCTTCAATTTGAAAACCAGAAATAGTCATGTATTTGTCAAAAACTGAAAGAACAAAAAAGAGGTAAAAGTGGTATTTACATTTGAACTATTACGTATTACCAGTACTTACTTTTAACTTCTTCAAACAAGCTTAGAAAAAAGACACATCTAAACTCATACACATTCCTCAACATATGGGCAGGACAATTAAGTTGGATACAAAAGGGGAAAATTTAAATATTAAAAAATAACATTCCAGCTTAATGTGCATCTACATATTTATTAAAATCGTTGTTAAAAACACCAATCTTTTTAGTACTACTCACCCTTTCTTAAGTGAGATATACTTCGAGTTCCCAGAATAGTGATAAATTTTTCTTCATCTGTTCCCCATTTCAGTTCCCCAGCTCTAAAAAGTTCCTGTTAGAATAAAAAGAAAGTTCATTGTTAATTAATGAAAAGAAATAGCAAGATTTTTCTGTGTTCTACATCAGGGGTCCCCAACCGCCGGTCCGCGGACCGGTACCGGGCCGCGGAACAAGCCTTACCGGGCCGCTGGTTGCTGGGCGCCGCCATCTTTTTTTGGTAAAAAAAGCAATTTTTCGTCAAAAAAGATGGCGGCGCCCAGCTGACGCTGGAACCGGGCCGCGGCGCCCAGCTGACGCCGGAACCGGGCCGCGGCGTCGAAAAGGTTGGGGATCCCTGTTCTACATAAAGCCAAGGGGCATAAAGACAACACTTATCTTAGATAAGGGTCTGATATTAGATTATGAGTTTACCAGTGGACTTTTGAACCATCCTTAATACAACATTCATTCTTTTGGCCACTTCAATATGATTCCCAATCACAGTCTTCCCAATACTGCTACTCTCCAAATGTGTTGGACTTCAATTCCCACCAATCTCAGTAAGAACCATTATTTTTCTCCTTTCTAATTTTTTCATGAGACAACAACTTCACCTTGTGGAATGCGGATGACGGTTCATGATAAATATTTCAAATCCTTTGTAAAAGAAAATAAATTCTAGATCTGTTTTTTTAAAAACCCACACAATTTAAACCATTTCAGAATAGACTTTGTAAATGATAAAAGATATATATATATATATAGTAATTTATACTGAAGAAGCTGGATTCACTTGAGATCTCTTACTTTCTAATGTCCTGATGGTGCCATTTTAGATGTGTTTTGGTGAAAAAGAATAACGGAACTTTTACCTACCTGAGCATCTTGCTCAATTAGACTTTCTTTAATCTGGCCATCAGGATCTCTGTTAGCCTAAATGGAATACAAGAAAAAGATGTATGACTGTGAATCAAGACTATAACTGGATTGCATTGAAAAATCAGTGGTTATTATGTCATAGTCAAGTCTTCTATATCTGGATTATTTCTTTCCTTCCTTCCTGGCATATGCTTTGTACATAACCCAAGTGATTCCTGTCTACAATACTGGAGTTTCAGATGCTCAAAGACCTGAAAAAATCATCCTATGGCAAATCATCCTATGGCAAAGTGACCTGAATTGCCAGGGATATTAAAAATGCAGCACGATTGCAAGACGTGTACACATAAGGACAGAAAGATGGAAGACAACTCAAGATTAGAGATAAGAAATAGAAACATCAATGCATCCATGGTATTACTTATAGTCATAATTCGGAAAAGAAAGATACACCAGGTTAGGCATCTTGCATCTCCAGAGCTGCTTGTGACTTTCAAACCAATTCTATCCATTCACCTACCCTTCCTTTCTTCTTCCTCAACAAAGCCCACTAGCCGCATGCAGTATGTTTCCAAAGTCTAGTCCCAAAGGTCCGGGGTACACAAGGTAACACAAGATCCGGTTCAATTTCTGAACCATTTATTTGATTTCAATCTTAAGAGCTTACTTGTAGAAGAACTACCAACATTCGCTGATAGTAGCCAGAGGTATCTGATGTTATATGATCTTCTAAATCAGCTTCATATTCTGCACACACACAAAAATCCCCAAATGCATTATTAAACAAAATTTGAATTTAAAAATAAAAAAAACAATTTCAGTTATTAAAGAATTATACATGACTGTTTCCTTTATTCAAAGGCCAGTCATTTTAGATTTCAAAATGGCATAAGCACATCCCCGTACAGAACATATTATATTGAGAAAATTGGCTAAAAGATATCAGCTTCCACAAATTCTCTACCCCAGAAACATGCCATACTCCCACAACCAACGGTTACCTTCTTGATAAACTTGCTTTATATTCCGGATTTCAGCAGAGGTCCGAGATGCAAGAATTTCAGTCAAGACCTGTTCATCAGTTCCTGCCCCCTGAAACCAATGTAATGAGTTCATGAAATGATGTCATTTTTCTTAGTATTAACAACCAAACTGACTTACAGTTATTTCTACAATTCTGCTTTTATGCTGCAATACCAAATCAAAAATTTTACTTTATAACCAGAATGTAAAAAAAAATACTAGCATAACTCCAATATATTTGAAATAAATCCAAAATGTTCAAGGATGCCTATTTCTTAGTTCAAGAATGCCTAACCATATGATCCATAAGGGTGGGTGAAACTACATAAATAGATTCCAACTGACTCATACAGGAAATTGTGGCAAGGCTTACTACTGAAATTTGAATTCCTGTAAGACAATCCTTTTCTCCAACAGATTTTGCTGAGCAATTTTTTTTTTTTAGTTCAGATTGCTTCACTTTCTTTTATATCTTGTTCTAAGGTATTCCAAGCTTCCAGGTTTGCAGTGAGACAACAAATATTTCATCTCAGGTGCAGAGAGTACTATGTCCTTAAACCCATTTTTCATTTACTTTCTATATGTGTCTCTTCTGCCAACTCTTGGAGTAAATAAGAGAAAAATTAAATTTTTTGGCAAGTAAATAGAATTTTGTTACTATAGTTAACAAAATGTTACATAAATTAATAAATGTTTAACAAAAATAAACTTTATTATAACTTTTATTAAACTTTTATTATTATAATTAACAAATCTGTCTGCCAGGATTGCTTTTTGAATATTTGAACATTGTCATATTTTTTCAAGCATGTAATTAAACCATCTTATGTTTAATGAAGGAAACTGTATACTTGATCTTGTTTGGCATTCCAGTCTGTGTAAAACTTATTAAAATGTATACATAGATACAATGTATACATAGATACAATGTGTCAGCCTCAAGATATCTTCCATAATATGTATATTCATAATCTGCATTCTAACTATTGCTTTTCTGCTGCTATGCCAATCTATTTCTTTCGGCTGTCATTAGCAACGGAGGGAGGGGGGAATTTGGAGGGGAAGAAGGCTGGAGGTGTTTTGCATTCCTTTGCTGGGTTAGTTATTCCTTTCTTTAACTTTCCATTTCTTGGCTAGCTTCTGTCCCCTTTTGCGCAACTGCGAACTTTTATCAAAATATGTCAAGGTCAACTGACAGAAGCCTCATCACCACCTGGAGATGGCCACATGATCATATTCAGAACTTTTAATTGGAAGAGTCATTTGGACTTTGGGGGGTGGGAGCATTTCCATTCCTTTGTATATGTGATCTGCCCGCCAATTTCTCAGTTTCGGAATTGAATCTGTAGCTTTCACTTTATTTTCCAGTAAAAGGATAACTTTGCTCTAACCATGGAGTCTGAGTATTTCTTTCTTGGGATTTGAAGGGAGCACAGACTGAGAGGAGAGGGAGAGGAGAGGAGACGTGGGGGGAGCGGTTTGCTCCAGGCAGGGCCCCCTCTGCGTCTGCTTCGGGTTAGATCTATGTCCACCTCTTCCTCCAGCAAGTACCACGACTGCAAATCATGTGGGTCCCTTCTGGAGATGCATGTGTGGTATATATCTTCATTTAAGCCATCTTTGTAGGCTTCTACCAGGGCCCCCTGGGACCAGCCTCGGATGTGGTATGCCAGCTGCCTGAACTCTTGGGTGTAGTCTGCAACCGATCTCCCCCCTTGGATTAGAGTCTTCATTCTGATCCTGGCCCTTCTCTCTGCCAGAGGGTCCTCAAACCTTCTCCTCAATGCAGTCATGAAAACATCGAGGCTCCGCAGTTGGGGGGAGTTATCATTGTACATAGATACAATGTATACATAGATACAATACATAGATACAATGTATACATAGATACAGCTATATTCAGATTAGAGCTATATAAAGGATTTATTCTTAAACTATGCAGATTTGTTTCTTGCAGCACCTGGCCTTCCTAAACCACTCTAATAATTACATTAATATATTTCCATCTTCCTGCATTTAGTTAATTGTAATTTACTTATCTGCCAATACATTTAGTTGCATCTTTGTTCTAGTATTCATATACCTACAAGCAAGTCCTGCCAAAGGAATATATTTTAGGGATCAGTTTTTCTCTGACTTAGCATCACAAGTTAGTTTTGCTCTATTACTATATAGGAACTTTCATGGCAGACAACCAATAGCAGTTTATTTTCCTGCTCTGGGAATTTTGGAAAGCCTACCATATATTGGAAACACTTCTGCATAGAGTACCGTATTTGCCGGCGTATAAGACGACTGGGCGTATAAGACGACCCCCCAACATTTCCACTCAAAATATAGAGTTTGTTATATAATCGCCGTATAAGACTACCCCCTCTTCCACACACCTTCCACTTTTGCACTTTTTTTTTTTTTGACGCACTTTTCTGCTTTGGACAATTTTGAAATGAGCTAATCCAATTTTGAACCAAGAATATGCAAATAGCTATGGAATTTAGAAATGAGTTTTAAAAATATTTTTCATTGCTTACCATTAAGCGTAAAATATGTTGTAAATAAAATGAGAACACAGGAAACGTTCTCTTCTCAATACAGCTGATCTCTCTCTCTCTCTCTCTCTCTCACACACACACACACACACACCAAAAACCCGGACACTGAAAAGGCTGCCAAGGAACAGTATATTCAATGCCTTCTCTTTAATCAAGAAACAAGGAATTCCTTAGAATCTTTTTTTTTCCCAAAGTGGCCCTCTTTAAAAAAAAAAAAATGGAGGTAACACTTTCATTCAAAAAGTCTTCCAGTATCTGGAGTCGCTCAGACATATTGAAGTGAGGCAGGAGAGTAAGTGAAATTTGAAATGATCCAGCTACCGTTTTCTTCCCCTCCTGCCCGAAGGCCATTATCTCCACGTCAAAACGAACGAGGGGAGGCAAAGAAGCCAAACACGCTAAAAAGGATCTCTTTATTTTCCTACACAAGGTCACACCTACTTTTCCGCATTCAAAGGACAACCTCTCCTCACCACCACCACACACACACACACACACACCAATACCCGCAAACAATGTTCTGGGCATTAATCACCATTGCTACATTAACCTGGTAAATTTATACCCTGCCTCCCCCAGTGTTGCTTTGACGGCAAGATTTCACACAGCGGGGCGCTCGCTCGCTCTCTTCTCTGCTCTCCCACCGTTCGCACATGTTGGAAGCACCGTAAAACCTGATAACCCACCCGGGGGCTCCCCCATCCTTAACCTACAGCCGCCCGCATGCAAAACCTGCGTGCAAAAAGAAAAAAAGAAAAAGAAAAGTACGCCGCACGTGAGGATCTTCGAATCCTCTCCTCCCCACACCGCTAAGGAAGGAAGAGGGGGAAAGGTTGCGCAGCGCGTGGCGAGTGACACCCGCCACACACACACACACACACACACACACACAAACACACACCGCTCCCCCCCCAGCCTCCCTCCCGGCTGCAACTCAAGCTCGAAGTGGGAGTCGGAGTCCTCCCGGCGTATAAGACGACCCCCCCACTTGGAGGCATGTTTTTCAGGGCAAAAAAGTCGTCTTATACGCCGGCAAATACGGTAAGTATTTTTGGAAAAATTTGTAGGAAAGTTTCATAACTGGCAGTTAATACAATAATGGCTATAGAAGTGGGTACAACTAAAGAGATCAGTTAGCTGTCTTACATAACTGACAGGAAAAACTATATTCATATGATCACTATTCTACTATTTCTTTAACTCACTTGCTTTGGAAATAACAGGTCAGTGATATAGCCTTATTATGGATCCAAATGTAACCAAGTAATAGTGTAGTAACTAGAAGATACAAGTAGTCCTCAACTTACAACCACAATGGGGACTGGAAAATTCACTGTAAAGTATTCCAGTCATTAAGTGAGATATCATATGACCATGACTTGTTACACTTCCTGCTGGATTCCCCATTGATTTTTCATGTCAGAAGTCATCTGGGAAGGTCATAAAAGATGATTCCATGACCAAGAGGATGCTATGACAGTTTAAAGTCATAAGTCACTTTTTTAGTGCTATCATAATTACAAATGGTCACTCAACATTTCAATCTTGGCTTATTTGATATTTATGTGAAATCGCTGGTTTCAATAAAACACAGCATACAATAACAAAAACACCCAACACTTAAGTGACAGAAAAATTCATGTTATACTAAACAGGATTAACTTTAACTGTGGTTGATGAACAAGGGACCAATTGTGGTTTCAAATACTGCACTAAGGAGAAATAAAGGTGACATTACAGCACAGCACAATTTAGAAACTTGAGAAAAATGGCTAAACTTTCCAGTATGACTTAGGGGTTTCTAGGGTATCAACAGGGTTGCCAAGGGATCACCTAAAACCCATTGGTTTTAAGTACCTATTACAGACCCTTAGAACTTACTTTCAGAGAATGGAATCCTAAACAAGATCTTTACCACAGCATGTAGGTAGGTTGGTAAAGGAGAAAATGGACCCTCCTTCATGTATCCAGATAACTGCCATTTCTCACCCTGTCAGAGTCCCATAAATGCACCTGCACTTACGACGAGATGGATAATAATTATAAGCTCTCCTAGTAAATGTGTAGTTCTAATTCCTCAGATGGAAAAGAGAAACTAGTGCAATTGAATGGCCCAGGAAAAGTAGTCAATGACTGTTTGTTCTAGGCTTCAAAAGCTAAAGAGATGTAGTCACTCTCCAATCAATATGACATTAACAGTACATTTTTAATCTTTAACATAGAGTGACTGCTGTAAAATTCCTTTCCAAAGTTCCGAGCTGCTGCTTCTGTGGGAGAGAAGAGGAAGAAAAATCACCTGATTTCCCAAACTACTTCTCTTCTCTCTTCTGTCCAGCACCTTATTGATGTTATCACTTGAATCAGATCCTAAGTGTTAGGTTTTTTTCCCATTGACTCAGTAAGTTAAACTGTATCTATCTTCCTTCAAATATTACCATTAAAAATCAATGTTTGGCTGCAATACTATATAGGGATTTTTGTCGAGGGACAGTATTGGTAACAAAATTACCTACTATCACAAGGTTCCATGGAATTCTTAGAGTAATATTTTTAACTCACATGCTGAAATTGAATGACAGCAGAAAACTGTCAACAAAAATATTAATATTAATTATCCCGACAGTCAAAACAATTAGGGCAGGGAAGATGGAATGTTTTATGACAGAGTGCTGAAATGTCTGTTAAGTAGGGAAAAAAGTAACAAAGAAGATGGCATATATTATGTGGTGATAGCTATAACTATCTTGCAAAGAGAATTCAATTGAATTAATCAAATAGAAGTTTCTTGCCATTATGAGCCTTTAATAATTGGGACTGCAACAAAATGTTTCAGTATGAAATGATTTTCTTCAGGTGTGCTTATTCACCATTTCATTCCACTTTTATAAAAAAAATTTGCTCCAACCATCAAATAGCAACTATCCAATGAGCATCTACCTTCTTAAGAAATTGGGGAGGGCAGTGTTTCTCCTATTTGTGAACTTATTTCTCTGAATAGGTAGCATCAATACTTGTGATTCATTCATTCTACATTTATACACGTACATTTTAGTCAATTCTTTATCACACACTTTACATTTGTTATTGGGATTATTCAAAATCCCAGATCATTATGTTTGTTTAACAAAACATGATTTACAGCAATATGTAAATATAGTCCATGTGTCTAAACTTTCCTTCCAAAGATACTTTTTTTCTATTGTGTTTTATTTATTTATTTATTTTTTAGTGTCAATTTTCTGGGCACTGAGCAAATTCTTGTTCTTTTCAAAAATCTTTTTCTTTCTTTTAATCTCCTATTAATGTCTGTCTGTCTGTCTATCTATCTATCTCTGTCTCACACGCACACACACTTGCCATTTTAATTCAGTAAGCAGAAGCATTCAAAATACCCATCAAAATACCAAATGATGGGAAAAAAGAATAAAAGTTGGATATTATCTTCAAATAAAGTTTGCCTTTTTCTGTAAGCATTTAGCTGATTCCTAGCATGGACATAGATATCCTTTGCCCCTTCTTACTTTTCTGTATACAGTGTATTTATTTAATACAAAACAGTTGTAAGCAGCTGCTTAAAAATTACCCAATGGATGCAAAGCAGCATAAACTGAAAATCAACCATAAATGTAATTTAAAAGATGCCTGAAGATTATATTATACATAGTTTTATAACAACACTCTTATTCAAGTGCACAGGTAATGCTAAAAACTGTTGGTTTGAAAGTAAATTTTATTACAATGGAAACTAACACTATAACCAATTGTCATAACTGTTAACTTCAGAATTAAAAGGAAAGATTCCATCCTAGATAAACTTTTTAATTTAAAATTGTGCCACTCATTTTACCTTAATGGCATGTTTTAGTGCATGAGCGTCATAAAGCTGTTCAGGTCTCATCAGGGAAACAATGAGCTTCTCCAGGTTGCCTGTCAGTTCTGATTTAAGGTCATCAATCAAATCCTAAATGACAGAATGAAGAATGAGTAATCAATGAGATTGTGTATCAATACCAGTCTTTCAGTTCTAGTTATTGCATCTAGAACTTGCCTTATTAATATTCAATATAAATGTATGTATATATGTACATATGTATGTATATATGTATGTTTGTGTGTGTGTGTGTGTGTGTGTGTGTGTGTATACATATATTCTCTCTCTCTCTCTCTCTCTCTCACACACACACACACACACACACACACAGAGAGAGAGAGAGTAGTGAAGAGTAAGAGAAATAAACATGGAATAACCAGCCAACCAAAAACATTAACCACCGTGAAATATCTGTTAATATGAAAAAGCACAAGTAGAATGACCTCCTTACCCGGCCAAAAAGAGTTTTAAATTGTACTGCAATTTCCTGGCGCTGAGCATTGCTTCTGCCTGTTAGAATCTTCAAGATTGGATCTTCATCAGTTCCTTAAATTATGCAAGTTAAAATAAAATCATTCACTGAAAGAACAGCAATAGTTTATGAATGAATGTAAATGAACACATTAAGTCCATATAGTTCTATTCTTGAAATCATCTCTTACTTGGAAAACTCTATATTAATGTAAAGGTAGTCCTCACTTAAGTGACCACAACTAGGATAGGCAACTCATTAAGTAAAGCAGTCACAAACATGATGATTTTACAATTATTTCAGCTTTCCTTTGCTTTATATCCCTGTGAAGATCATAAATGCAAGGATTGGTCTCAAAACTTCCTTTTTGTCACCACTGTACCTGTGAGCCAGTTACTGGACAAATAACCACACACACACATTTTTAGCAAATTAAAAAAATGGAATGTATATGAGTTGTCACCCATGAAAATATTTGCACCAAAAGAAGAATTCAAAAGGAGGCCAGTTTGTAATATCCATCCTCTTCCTTTTTTCAAGCATTGTTTTCCACCAAATTTGTGTGGATAATTGAGAATAATTATCAAGGCCTACGCTTCTTTTCAAATCCACTGCTCGAGCATCTTTGAAAAGAACAAAAGCAAAAACTAACAGTAGAACTTGAAGTGACACCACATAATTAGGTAGCCAATTGGATTTAACTATGTGACAACTTTCACAACCAAAGGCATGTGTATGTACCTTCATTCAAAAACAAACAAAAAAAACAAAACTATGAACAAGACTGCACAACTAACTGGACTTGAATAGGCAAACACTCCTGATTAGCAAACATTTTCATAGAAGTGTTTCCTCCACATTTCAACAAGCTGTTTGCCTCCATATTTCTTGGAAACTAAATCAATATATGTGATGAAATCTCCAAATAGACTGAAGGGAGGGGACCCAAGTTGGAGTTCCCCCACTGCAGGAAGTGGCACAGGTCTGACCTCCCCTAGAATCCCTAAAGCAGAGGTCTCCAAACTTGGCAACTTTAAGACTTGTGGACTTCAACTCCCAGAATTCAAGTTTCTTGTAACGGAGGTGACTAGCAATAGTCTTCTTTTAAAGACTATCCCCAAGTGATTCTGGATGTTTGATCCTGACAGTATAAATCAACAAGCTTGAATAAAACATCTGTTTCCTATTCACTATCCGGCCTTCAGAATTTGTTTTGTGTTAATAAAAGTTAAGATAAAGTTAAGTCAATATTTCTTTTGTATGAATAAAAGTTAAGATAAAGATACTGAGATAGCCATTAACTTTTCAGGAACTCCAGTTAAAAAAAAAACTAAATACCAAAACTCTATTGTCCTGAAAAAGATTCTACATACAGTAGTATCTCAAAGGTGCTTTTTCCAAAAGGCAACTGGGCTTTTTTTTCTTCTTTGAAAACATTTCACTTCTCATCCAAGAAGCTTCTTCAGTTCTTTGGAGAAAAAACCTTTGGGAAACCATGACCTGAATGATTAAGAATCCCTATAGACATTCTACATAGTACAATTGAAATAATGTTGAAATGTAAAGATTAATACTTACATATATGAGTACAGATTAATAGTTACATATACTATACTTACATATACTATAGTTACATAAACTATCCAACATGGGTCCGTAAAGGGGGCGTAAGTGCACAAACGTGTCTATCGTCCCTGCCATTGTTTTTTTTAAATATTATTTCTGCTTTTGTTTCTGTTTGACAAATTATAATAAATAAATATCTTTTTTTTTGAAAATTTTATTTGGGTTTTCACAAAAAAAAACATAATACAAATAAAACATCTTTTTTAAAAAAATAAGCATGGTCTCAGGTTACACTTCTTTATACAGACACAAATTCAATTTCATGTTCATTCTTGTGTTCTATTCCATATCTTATTACTGTTTTACATTTTCTACATAGTTTTTCCCCTCTTTTAAGTTTCTCAACTTTATTTTGATTATCTCATCTCAATTCAAATCATTATATTTATACTTTTGTCTGTCCTGTTTCAATTTCATATTATTTTTTCTTAAACAAATTTTCTCCTGTAGTTACTAATTGGAGTATGATGCCTTTATATCTTTTAATTTTATCTATTCAACTCTTATTTAAGCTTCAATGTATACCTTTAAGATTATAACATTCAATATAATACATAACTTCCAATCGAATTCTGCTTGGTACATTCTTAAAATACACACTATATTATTAAAAAAAGATTATATATATGTGTGTGTAAATAAAACACTCATTCCATTCCAATTCAATTCTATCATTAATGTTCATTAACATCTTAACATCTTTAACATTTCTTTTCAATTAAATATCATACTTCCTTGGGAACACCTATAAACTTTCCATAATTTTTTTTTCATATTTCTCTTCACTTATATTTTATAAATCATTAATAATAATTAAAATGTTCCCATCCTTTCCTAATTTAATTCTCTCATTCACTTTATTTCATTTGTTTATTAACAAGCATTCCACTAGATTACAATAAATATTTTATCCATCATTTTAAGCATATTTTCAAAGATTATTTCTATTTGTAATATAACAATACTACCTTATGTACCTTTGCAGAATCCCTTTTATAATTAAGTTTTCACCCATTATCTCTAAACAGGCTTATACTTTCAATTCTTATACGTTTGCCCTGTTTCTCTATATCTTGTTTCTGTCCTTTATAACTTCTTTTCCTTTCCTTCTTCCCTCTCTTCTTCTCCCTCCCCTTTTTACCCCCGTCTCTCTACTTCTAATTCTCTCTTCTGTAATCCCCTCTTCTGTTGCTTTCTAATATTATACTTATTTTTCAAACTATTCTTTTTTTTTTTTTTTTCAAATCTTAAACTTTCAGGCATGATATTCCGCTCTGAAAAAAAAATTGGGGCCGGCCAAAAGAGACCCCCCGCCGCGCGCCCGGGGAGCGCCCGCTGCTTTCCCTCGCCAGGGCCGGGCGGTGGCGTGTTGCACGGAGGCTGGTCTGTGGCTGGCCTAGCTCCCTTTTCCTGCCGCCCAGCGGCCTCCGTTCGCACCGCCTGGGCTCTGCTCAGGTATCCGGCTGGGGCTGTCAGGAGTTGCTACCGCCGGCGCAGCTCCACGCGGCTCCAGTCCCGCGTTGCCTCGGGAAGGGAAAGGCAAAACCAGGAGCCGCTGCTGCCGTTGCAAAGCGCCGCCGCAGCTCTTCCTTTTTGCCTTTCCCTTCCTGAGGCAACGCGGGACTGGAGCCGCGCAGAGCCGCGCCAGCAACTCCTGACTCGGGGCCTCCGAGGGGAGGGGAAGGAGGAGAAGAAGGGGGGGAAAGGGGGGGATTACCAAAAAAATCGGAATTCCGATTTTAATCGGAAGAATATCATGCCTGAACTTTTCATTCTCTTTCCCCCCTTTCCTTTTTTTCCCCCCACATAAAATTACTTGATCATTAAAGATGGCTTCTTTTTTGTCCCAATCTTCTTGTTCTGCAAGCGTTTCTTGTTGTTTCTCATAGTTCCAGATCTCCATTTCTAAGAGTTGAAATACGAAGCCAAAAGAACCTTTCCCTTCTTGTGCATCTTCTTTGTACTTTTTAAGTTCTATTTTCAGTTCTTCTAAAAGTGGTGCCATTTTAAACACTTTTAAACAACCACCCGATTGATTTTAGTCATTTAAATGCAGTAACCAAAAATCCAGAGATCACCAAGTAATCCAAATAATCCCAAGATGTTTCTTCTTGCTTCTTTTTCCACTTTCTCTTCCTGGGGTTCTACTATTTTGTTGCCAAGTTTCAGTTAAAATGTATCATTTAGGAATCTTGTTGAGGTTTTAGTTCCAGGCAGTCTCCTCCATTTTTCCAGATCCTGCCCTTTTATTCTTTTTTCTCTCCTTTCTTGCTTTTAAAAGCTTTTAAGTATCCAGAAATCTTTATTATCCCTTTGACATTTTATTTTCAACTTAAATGCCTGTTGATGTCAAAGTGGATTTTTTTTCAATTTCTTGCTTAAGTCTCTTAGCTGTCAGTATATAGAAGGGAAGAGAAAAAACAAACCAAATCCTTTCCCTTTTCTCTCTCCTTCACTGCTTCAAAATCTTCTTTGGGAACAATGTTATTTTTTTTATAGTTTAAATACCAGGGTACCTTGCGTTGTTGCTTTTGCAGTTTAACCCGGTCAACCAAGACTTTCACTTCTTATCTTCCTCCTGCACATTCTTTTCCGGTCGAGTTCTTCTTTGAGGTGGCCATTTCTGACCACCGCTGCCTTCGGGAAAGGGAGTAATGGCCAGCTGAGGAGGAGAGTTGCGGCTCTCCTCAACCCTGCTGGCAGTCTCCCCCCTCTTCACCACCTCTACGGGATGGCTTAGCCCTGAAGCCAGCCCGCTCGGTGCGCTCCGGTGGCGAGCACGGATCGAAACCGTGCATGATCACGGTTTCAGTCTGTCAGCGACTGAAATTCAAACCAGAAGTTCCAATAAATAAATATCTAAGGAGCCCTGGTGACACAGGGATTAGAATGCAGTATTACAGGCTCTGTCCACAGCCTGGTGTTCAATACTAATGGGGCTCAAAGTTGACTGAGCCTTCCATCCTTTTGAGGTTGATAAAATGCAGAGCCAGATTGCTGAGGGCAATGTCCTCTCATTGTAAAATGCACAGAGAGTGCTGTAAAGCACTATGGGGGGAAAACTAGAACATCTTCAAAGAGCAACAGTTGCAACAAGGGGACTATGAAGAGATACTGAAGGAATTGGCAATGCTTTAATTTGGATTCTTATACCATATAAGGGATTTGTTTCAATGGCCTTCAAGATCCCTTCCCATTCTAATGACTATTTTCTCAATATGTCATCCTGACCGGTTGACTCAGCTCTCCATCCTTCCGAAGGTTGGTAAAATGATGAGCCAGATTGATTGGGGGCAATATCCTGACTCGGTAAACCACTTAGAGAGGACTGTAAAGCACTATGAAGCAGTATATATGTCTAAGTGCTATTGCTATTAATGTCTGCTTATGCAAATACCAGTGAAAATAATGCCAAGTCAAAGCATAAAGAGAACTTGGTGACCACACTGATATATTTCTGGTCCTGCCAGTAGAACAGTTTAAGTTCTATTTTCAATTTTATTTCACATCCAATCAGAACCCTATAAAGAGAAATAATCCAACATCCTTGAACATTATTTTACTCTATCTGTCTAATGTTCACACTGCAGAAGGAAGCCAACTCTATTTCTGAACATTCCTTGAACTAATTAGGTTCTGATCCTAGATCATTAGGAAACTTACACAATGAAGTTTCTCTGCTACTGAAATTTGAGCCCAAATGTATGGTAAACACGAAGGGGAGGGATGATTACAGAAAGCTCATCTTCACACTCCTTTTCACACAATAGTAACTGTATGTAGGGAAAAGTTTCAATGGGGCATTATTTTGCTTCTGCTTACCTAATCCTTTCATTGCCTTGCGAAGACTTTCAGCATCACCTCTGGCATCAAATCCAGGGAAGTCTTTTACGGTACCTCTTGTGTACTAGAAGAAAAATAAAACTATGTTCATGCAGCATCCTTTTAGTGACAATTTATTACAAAACTGATCATCAAGAAACATGAGTTACAAAATCTAAATATTGATCCCTTAGAAAATAATCTGCTATAAATCTAATAGTAATTAATCCATATGATCTGGCACAATTTGCAAATTTATGCCAGGACTAATATACTGAGTGCAAAGCTTTCTTATATGGTAAAAGCTTGCACTCAAATATTACAAATCAGATCTTGAGCAAAGCTTGTAGAATTTGGAAGTTTATGAATCTGTTCTTAGGAAGGCATTTGTGGTCTCTTCTGGGTAACAAAATGAGGTGTTGTTATATATGTGTTTAGGCACTCTGTTACAGATAAGAAAGAAGAAAATAACATTTCCAGTTTACTGACAAAACAGGTATTGAACATTTTAAAAAAATTCCCAAAAGACTATTAATAAGAAACTAGTTTAACAATAGCTTCCTGGCAGCTCTTTCAAAGAACAATTATATTAAAAAATAATTCATATTCTGTGATTAGTTTATATATTAGTTGTATGGAAATCAGTTGTAAACAGCTTACCCCCTGAAAAAAAAACTTTGATATGAATAAAATCAGCTATACAATTCTTATATATAATTTACAGTCTGTCTAACCTGTATATATAGAACACAGTCCTATATATGCAACCAATCAGTTGATAATTCTGACAAATAGTTCCAACAATTCTAGAGAGTGCCAGGTTGGACAAATTATTTTGAGGAGTATGTGGTATAATTAACGTATGTCGTAAAATAAGAATGTCTTCTCAGACTTTCATTTTCTGAGTTGTTCACCTGAATCAGTAATAAACAACCCACAATACTCCAAATGCTGAACTTAAATTCCCAGCAGCCCCATTAAGCATGCCCAATCATAAGTGTTACTGGGACAACATGTTCCACAACATGTTACGTAGAACAGGATTCTCATCTTAGACTTAATTATTCTAGATTCCATCTTGTTATAGAAAAGTGGTAGCATGAAATCTCAATGTTTCAGTCTAAGGGAACATTTTCAATATCAGTACATTTCACTGTAGAGGACCAACTACTTCCTCATGCTTAACTTCTCAGAAACTGACTATGTTCTTTATTTCCAGAAAGCAAACTCAGCTATCGTTTGTTCAATTATTAAACATTCAAATATTAAATCCATAATATTGTTAAAAATTAGCAAAAGGGACTGGCATAGAAAGCCACCAAAATTTAATGAAAAGAAAATGTGTAACTGCCATGTGAATATTAGTCATTTGTAATTTGGCAACAGACCTATGTCTTTTGAATCCTGAAATGAATCATCATCTCCTAATGGGATAGCTATCCTGACAAACTAAGATAAACATGCCAATAGTTCTTATATTCTCTGGCAAATGGGAAAAATGACTAGCCTTCCCCCCTTTGAGGCTGAAGAGGTCCAGTATGAAGATTCATTCCAGCAGTTCTTAACTCTGTCTCCCGCTCTTAAATTTGGAGAATGCTGACAAGTGTTTGGTTGCAAAGATGGAATCTCCCAAGAGATCTCCTTTGCTAATCAGTTAGCTGCCAAGCACTTCACAAGAAAGGCAAGTATTATTTATTTGGCCAATCAGAGACTAGGTATGCCTTCTTTCCAATTCCCTATAATGTCCAAGCCAGATTATCTCTCATTGCCCTTCTACTGGAAAGGCTGGCAGGGACCTATTTTTATGGTGGTGGCAGGAAAACAGTGAAAACAATGTTTGTTCTAATTAATGAGGCCAACCAATAAACCAAGGAAACTAGCTGTTTTGGGCAATTTATTCAGTTACATTATGAATGAAAGCAAAAACCTATTTAACTTGAGTGCATGTTCTAGATCAGGGGTGTCAAACTTGTGTTGTCATGTGATGTATCGGGACTTTTTTTCCCCTTCACTAAACCAGGCAGGGACGGGGCCAACACGTGACACATCCAGCCCATGGGCCGCAAGTTTGACATTCCTGTACTAGTCCTGCTTAGACATGAAAGCCAGTTAGGGGACTTTGGGCCAGTCACTCTCTGTAAACCCAACTCGCTTCACAGGGTTGTTGTTATGGAGAACCTAGGAAGAAGAAATATTATCTATGTTCACTGCCTTGTGTTACTTATAAAGTAAAATAATAAAGGCAGAATAAAAACATCTAAAAATATACACTAAAGAAAAGAAACAATGGAATTAATTATGTACTTAACTTTTAGATCTTTCCAAAAGAATAGCCCAGTTTTTCAGGGCTGAATACCAGTCACCGTACCTATGTTTCTATTAACCAGCCACCAATGCAATGAATACTACTTGAAGTTGCAGGAAGAGATTTCAGATCAAACTATTTCTGTATACTCAGGGAGTGGGGAGTAAGGGGAAGTGCATGGAGGAAATGATAAGACAAGACTCTCATCTCCAAACTAGAGCCCCTGTAACTGCATTCTCCAATTTCTACCATCTATGGCCAGCATGACTGCCAATGCTTGCTGTAGATAGCAGCTAACAAAATGAAAGCATTTGGAAGATAATGCTGGCCAAGAGCCAAAGAAGCTAATGCTTTGCATTGGGTAATGCAAAGCAAACAAAAGATCAAATTAGGGTCAAATCAAACAGGACACGCTAGTATAATTTACTAATGTTTGTTTTATTTTAAAATGAAAGTTCATTGTTATAAGCCAAAGTTTAAGCAGGTGAAATAACTTGTTTTCCTTCCTTTATTCCCATGTTATTTGGAACTCTTGGGGGAAAATTATGTTTCAGTATTTGCCTTCTCCATAGAAAAAGTAATAAGAAGCTGGAAACTATTTAGAAGACAACATCAGGATGATCAAAGACCCACACTCCCACTCTTTTTCATTAATCAACCTTGTGAGGTTGGATTTTATCTTGATTAAAAACATGTCTTTCATGAAAGAGGGAGAGTAAGGATGAAATCGCTGCCTATTTTCTCCCATCCTCTGCTTTGTGCTGACTTTGAGGGAGGAAGGCATCCATATTTAACATACTTTGCTACCTAAGAAGCTTCTACACAAAATGAAAAGCCCAGAAATTAAGTTTTTTTCCAATCATGTAGGTTATCCATGATTAGAGATGCTATGTAAAATCTACTTTTACTTCATAAATCATAGAATCTGATATCCTTCACCAAATGGGGCCTTCAGACACTTTCAACTCCAGAGACTTTCAATTCTAATGCTTAGTATTAAAACAAAATTACATGCATGAGTTCAGAATAATTATTATCTATATTTTATTTAACTGCATTTCATTGCAAATGAAAGCAATTCAAAACTCTGTCATGTTCTGGACTTAATTCTTTTTATCTTATCCTTTGCATGCTTCTCAAAAGCCAAGTGCATCCCTCAGCCCAGGAAAAAAGCTACATGCCTTAAGAAAACATTCTGAACACTTTTACTCATTTATTCATATTAGCCCTGCAAGTAAGTTGCCATATTTAGTGTAATGTAGCAATTTTCTACAATTATGACCAATCTTTTAGTTGTTTTCTATTTAACCAGAAATAGCATTAGAACAATTTATTAAAATCAAGAGCCAGTTGGACATCCTTGTAGAGACCAAGGGCTATATTTAACTTTTGGGATAAGTGACTGAGGATCACAAAATAGATGGTTTATATCACCTATCTAGACAGGCTAAGTTTGGGTAGGTTATTTAGTTTTAATTACAACACAGCTATTTTGGATCATATATTTTTCTTCACTCAGAATGTCAGGAAACGGTAGAGTTCAATTTAGAAGTGGATCCAACAGGTTAGGAAGGGGCTGCTGAAGCTGCAGAGGGCCATGTCAAAAGCAGCAATTTCTTGGGTTTCCTGGTCAATGTATTTTGAAAATTGCCTAAGATTATACATATATTGCTAAAATTAAATTATTTATGTCTCCTTTGTAGTTTTTTTTAATGGCACAATTTCCTATTTGCAGCTACTATGTAAACAGTATTGTCAGAAAATGCAAGTGAAGGTTAAGAAAACTCCAATTACAAATAAGCAGGTAAGTAATGTAGAGCGTAGAAGGGAAGTTATTCTAGACATCAGGAAGTGGCACCACAATGTAACATAAGACTAAGCATATATCTTAGCTGCAATTAAGACTGAAAGATTACATTACTGCATACTCATTTCTCATACCCCACATTTGATCTTTGATGGATTTCTTTGAATATTGGATCTCCAAAATAAACATAAGGTAGGAGATGCACAGAGACCCTCCACTTGGTGTTCTGTTCATTTCTTTGGGAACTTTTTTAGGACAGTTGGATGAGAAAAGAAGCTAAAGAAGCTTATTGGATGAGAAGCAAAATGTCTTCAAAGAAAAACCAGAAAGTCCAGTTGCCTCTTGAAAAAGCACCTTTGGGACAACCAATGGTCGCCAACCAAAATGAGAAAATTTTGGTGGTCCGCAGAGAAATGTCCCTCCCAAAGCACTCCCCCAAAGCAATTAATCCAGGCTGCGTGGGAACACAAGGCTGCACACATGCTGGCCCCCACCCTTCAGCCAAGCATATACCTTACCTTGAGTAGAGCCACATGAGCTAAAACTGGAAGGTAAGACCAACGGCGGGGGAGGGAAATCCTCCCCGGGTTGGCTTGCTGACATTGGTGGGAAAGTCGGTCCCATATTCCAAAGCTGTAGTAGTCACAAGACTGGCCCGTTGGTCATCCCAGAGCAGCTCCTCCAGTCCATGGCAGGCCAGTGCACCTGGGTGGAGGAACAGCTACTCCAGGATGACCAAAGGACCCTTCCTGTGACTACTGCAGCTCTGTAATATGGGACCGATTTTCCCACCAATGTCAGCAAGCCACCATCAGTCAAAATTCATATTAGTGATCTGCGGGATTTAAAATTATGAGTTTGGTGGTCCCTGAGGTCCAAAAGGTTGGCGACCCCTGACCTGGAGGACTGAGAATCTCCATAGATATTTAGATAAGAAAAGGAAGCCTTTTCCATCTCTCTTAGAAATCTCACTCTATTTCCGGACTGCAAAGCAAAATGGAAGGATCTTGTATCCTTCTCCCTTCATGAAAAAAAATGGCCAGGAAATTTTGAAATTTAAAAATGGACAGAAACAGCTCTTTGGTGTGTTTAATGGAAAAGTAGACTTTGAGGAAGCAATTTTAAACATTTTTTTCCCAAAATCCTCCTAGTAGCAACTAAAACTAGAGACAAAAGGCGACTTTCAAAAACAGCCATATGACTGTTTGTGGAATACCTACATAATGTCCCATTTAGTTTACAGCAGGAATTTATAAATTTGTGCACTATAAAAGGAAAGAAACATTTATATATGTCAAAAGCTAGTTGAAAGAGTACAATTTTTCTCATTTCCATTAGCATTCATTTAAAAAGTATTGCTGGAGGCAGAAAATGAAAAGTATGCACATTTGAATGTGCTTTAAAATATGAAATATTAAGATTCAGAACATAAATCTACAAAAATTAATGACTTTTGTATCATAACATATTGGCATTTGTATCAAATTAAGTTCAAACAAAAAAAAATCATCAAAAGACATTACACCTTTCTTAAGGATCCCCAGACTTTAATAATTAAAGCACCATTTCTACTTACAGTAAAAGCAAAACAATACAATAGCAACCCTACCAAAGTTAAACATATAAAATCAAGAAATTGAGAGTTTGCCAAGCACAGTTGCCTTGGCTGGCTGCCTAGAATAATCATACAAAATTATAAAATGCAAGGGATCAAAGATTAAAACAATTAAAATCACTAGATCAAGAAGAGAAGAGGAGGTTGCTTGACTTCTAAAATATATATTCAATACAGAGCAACAGAAGAGCAGATCTATCTCATAATAACTATCACAACCATTTGTAGGCAATGTTTACACATATGCTGCTTTTAAAGAAATAAACTGATTAGATAATGCAAATAAAAATTAAAGCTGTATATAAGTCTAAATGCTATTGTTATCAGTGACCCATACATTTAAATAAAAGGGGGAATCAATTGCTGAAAGACCTCCCTAAAGAATTAGCAATACAGAAGAACGTGGACTGTTTCTATGACACCAACCCAGGAGCAGTATTAAGTTTCATATGGGTTTCTGCTGTATTTTCCTTCCAAAACAATATTGCCTATCTAAACTTCCTACTTCAACATATTAAAAAAGAGTCTTGAAACTACTATTAAGATGGTCTGTAGTTCTATTTCTATGCCGAATATTAGAAATCTAAGATCTGTATAAAGTGGAACAGGATTTCAGACAACTCTATTATAACTATTTGTTCCATCGTATCTACTGACAAGTTATCTTCTGTATGTTCCCACTGTCCAGCCCCTACTACAAGTAGTACCTCATTGAATAACCAGTCGCTTAGCCACCATGTAAAGTTACAATGGTTCTCCCAGAGGATGCAACCAGTTCTGGAGTTCTGACAGCCACAACTCTTCCACCACTTGTGGACATTTTGGGCACTTGGTAATCAGCTGGCATTTATGACCATCCAAAGTATTCTACAGTTTCATTATCACAATTTATGGTGTTTATTTTTACTTTCAAGCAAAAAAAAATACCATTGAAGGAAATGGGTTCATTTAATGACCACTGTATTAACTTAACTATTATAATATTCACTTATAGACTGCCACAAGAAAGGTCATAAAATCAGGCAAGATCACATGGAGACCCATTTAATGACCACCACAACTTATGACAGTAATTCTGGGCTCAATTACAATCATAAGTTAAGGACTCCCTGTAGTTCTACTTCTTCACATTGTCAGACATATCTGAAGGGAAAAAAACATGCATTTTCCTTAGCAAGATGACTTCCTTCGTGTAAATTGGCATCCTAATTAACAATGATAAGATCAGAAGTAAAGTAAAGGTAGAGTTATGCATAATTATGAATTGTTCCACTTCATATACAGGCTTTATAATTTTAAATTATGTTATATTATTTATAATTTCTGAAAGTGTGATGTATTTTGAAAATTCATAATCTAATTCCTACATTATGCACATACATCTAATTTCCACATCCATACTCATAAACATTTATTTCCAATAGCAGTTTCTATTTCCTCAATATAATCACAGAACTTTTTATCAAATACAACTGGCAGATATTCCATGTTGCCTCTAAAGCATCTAACAAAGTAGATAATTAGTTAGATTATATAATATTACAACTCATAATGAGACAGCTATGTGAATGCATTCAAAATATTTATTTAGTTATGTCAGTTCAAATCAGTTTCTTTGCTACTTAATATTTCTCAAATGGTTGTGAAATGAGGTACAAGCAATTCAACATAATCTTATTGCATACAATAAGTGTACAGAGGAGTTCATTTGTTGAACCACTTATAAAGCTGTCTTCAATCTAGAACTCTCCATTTGTGATGATCCAGAGTGGGATACAAAACAAACACAGTCACAGAAAACAGGTGAAGCCCCTTTTATTCCTTCACTTTGCTTCCAAGCTCCAAATATCCTTGACGGAAGACAAAAAACTGCCACACAAACAGTTACAAGAAGGAGGAAAAAAGAAACGCAAACCAGGCAAGATAAGGGCTGGAAGATGTCCACAGATAACAGAACACACACTGGGAAGGATGCCAAACTCAGAGAGGAACCATAAACTAGAGATATTTCCACGCTTCATTTCCAGCATTCGCCCATAAGCATGTCTGTCCTGTTATTCAGTTGTCACAGCTGCCGCCCATGAAGGGGATCAAGGCCCTCTCCTCCCAAGTAGACCATGTCTCTTCTTTATCCTCTCCTCCCTGCATGCCCTAGGATGGAGAGGGGATGGGCCTGGGTCCTCCTCTGACTGATCAGCTGGCCTCTGCCCTTCCCCAGCCTCCTCCATAAGCTCCGGAGCCACACTTCCACTGTTCCTCCTCTCCTTCAGAGTCAGTCTCCACCAGGGGCATGACACCATTGTGTTGAGCTATATCTGCCAATGTCTACCCAACACAGGCCATATTAGTTGATGCGAATTCTAACAAATCTAGTGCAAAACTTAGAGCCCATCAAGTTAAAGAAGATCCACATAGGGTCCAGGAAATATACAATCTGAAGTGAGTTATGATTGAACAGCATCATCCCTGTTCTTATAGCATTTAACTTTTGTAAATTAAATGACATTTGAGACTTTGAGTCATACTATGAATAATCTCAGTGACTCACGTGTCATTATCATTTTTGCAAACTTCAAGAAAACTCTGTAAACTTACTTCAGATTCAGTTTGATTCAAAAATATTCAAAAAGGCTATTTGACTTGTAAAAAAGGATAGAGAATACAGGCAGTCCAATACCAAAATGCAAAAAAATAAAAATAAAAAAGAATGAAAAGGAAACTTGTTATTTAGCTATTTGTTGACCTTTTTACTGCTAAAAGGAAGACACACCAACTCACAGTGAAAAATTTGAAGTGCAAGAAAGAATTGGCTAAAAGAATGGAAAATGGAAAAAAGCGAGACGTGGAATCATTGGAGTAGGATGAGCTCATCCTGTTCCCAACTTGGCCTCTTTAAATATTTAGATGAACTTGCCCAGATCAAGTCACTATAGAGTTACAAGAAAAACAGAGAAGAAGAAACTGTCCTCCCACATCCCCAAACAGGGATTTCTTATTCCCAGTCATTTATCTTCAGAGTATCACCAGAGTTGAGTCACAACTCTTAAGAATAACTTTTTTTACCCTTTTTTTTTCTTCTTAAGGCCAAAATGTTCGTTTGGCATTTACACCCTATTTCACAGGAATTGCTTGGGAATCAAACGAATGAAAAGTCGCCTTTCAAGGGCTGAAGGATCCCTGGGGGTGAAAGTATCTCATTGTACAAATGCACACACAAAAAAGTGTCTGGCAAAATGGCGGTAGCGTTACAATTTATTTATACATTCATCAAATCGATTGGCTTCTTTCAAAATTTCTTCAGCCCTTTTGGTAAGTTTAAATTACGCAGCGCGGGGAAAGCAAGGTGGGACTTACCTTTGCCATGGCTTCGGGGGTCGTTTCGGTTTAGGCGAAGAGCGAAAGCTGCGAAGGAAAATAAGGGACAGAGGGTTACTCTTCGAGAGTTCAAAAGAAAGAGCGGCCAACAAGTACCGCTAGCCTGGAAACAAGCGAAGAAACCCGACCGCTTCCTTTGCTTTCCTCCGAGCAGTTCCGATTTCGGAGTACCCCAATAGGGACCTCCCGCCAAATCGGGAGGGGGGAGGCGGGAATCTCTCCTGAACCCCAACTTTCGGCCACAGGAAAACGCCCGAGGACTTTCTCCTGTGACTTTTCCACGCCCTGCTGCTCCAAGCTGGGTTCAGCCGAGGCCTCCGTGATACAAAGACCGATAAGCGGAGCAGTAAGAGCGCTCCGCAATGGCTTCCTCCGCTGGATCTTTCGCTCCTTTCTGGCCTCCGTTTTAACTCCCCAAACTTGGCTGCGCTCGGAGAGCAGCCGGTACGCACCGTAGCCTTAAAAATGAGGGGGCGAAGCTGCTAGATGCGGCGGCCTCTCGAGAAACAACGGCAAGGGACGGAGCCGGAGAAAGTGCGCGTCGCTCTCGCGGCCTGCCACACCCAGCGCTCAGATTCTCCCTGCGGTTCCCGGTTGGAGTCGATCGTGGTCTTCCTGCCTGGGGCCCCACCCCGGATTACTCGGCTACTCCTCGGCACGGCGTGCCCTGGGTGCGGTTGAGTGTCTTTTCCTCCCGGCTCAAATTATTACGAAAGTCAGGGTCTGAATAATGCCTGAGAGGAAGCTCTTTCTGGATCATTATTGGTCCCTGTGCAAAACGGTTGCTTTACACCCACACCAACGCACCGCTTGCAGAACAATTAAAATAAGGAAGGGCAGTTGTGGTAGGGTAGTTGTAACTGTGCTGTGATTTAAAAGAAAAGTCTCGATTCAGGGACTTCAGTCGCCCAAACAGGCATTTCTTTGTTTCATCCAGGCAAAAATCATATCCTGACTGATTCACACAGAAGACTACATCTCTCTGGCTGGATCCACAAAATATTTTCAGATACAAATAATGAAGCCTTGTACTGGCAAAGCTGAGAATCCAAAGAGATGTACTTCATAGTAAAGGGGTATAAAAGAAGAAAGATCCTTGTGTAGTATAAATAAACCAAAGGACTTGCCTATGCAAATATGTCCAGACAGGGTAAGCTGTTTCTTTGAACAAAGTGAGGCAGTTGCCTTAAACTTTAACCATTTTAGTTATTAATCATAACTAAAAATTATAATTTCATCAGGTTTGTGCGGAGTTAAATTTTCAGTCTGGTGGATCACAATAACTTTATAATCTTTGAAAATATGCAAACTGTTTCAAGTGATGGCCTCCATTCATTTCTCCTCTTGAAGTTACCCTATTGCCACCCATTAAGACCAAAGGTGTTTTGAATTGTGTAGTCTGCACCATTTCAGAAATGAAATTCATAAATTAGAAAGACAGATTTTATGTGTGCAAAAAAATCCTGTCACCAGAAATATTCCATTTTTTAACATTGCCATTTTAAAATAAAAAATGATGAATGTAAGCCCTGTAATAAAATTAAGACAACTAAGACTTACTCTTAACATTTTTAAAGATCATATAACCTTGGAATTCCTTTGTGAGCTTTCCAATAAGATAAAACAGAAATCTGTGTGCTGCTGAAACTAAGATGAATTAACTTAAATACTCTTTAAATCTCTTAATAGCAATAGCACTTAGACTTATATACCACTTTACAGTGCTTTGCAGCCCTCTCTAAGCGGTTTACAGAGTCAGCATATTACTCCCTCACCCTCGACCTTGGAAGGATGGAAGGCTGAGTCAAACTTTACCCTGGTGAGATTTGATCTGCCAAATTGTAGGCAGCTGGCTGCAGCCGTAGTTTGCAGTACTGTGCTCTAACCACTGCGCCATCGAGGCTCTTTTAAGATAGAACCAAGGGAAATTCCCACTGAAGTTCTGTGCTGCTCCCAGCTACATTAGGAAAAAACTTTTAAAACATTCAGCCTAAATAAAGATGTGTTGGCAAAGGAGCCAGGCTGGTGCTCAGGGCAGACCCTGATTAGCCCTTAGCCTGATTCTTGACCATCCCATCCATCTTAAACTGGTGTGAGTGTGTCTATCAGTGCTCCCCTTGTCCTTTTGGAGATTGTTACCTTCTTGTTACTTCCCATTTTTCCCTGGTTTTCCAGATGCTTGCACATAGTCATGGTTCCACATGCCTTTCCCATATTCTATCCTTTAGCCCTTTCCTCCCCCCCCCCTTATGTATGTATGTAAATGTATGTCTATTTTTTCTTACCATTTCACATTATTTAAAGCAAATGTAATATGAGGACAAGCACTACACGATTTTGGAGGCAAAAGTCGGCCTGATCTTACTGGCCGGGCATTGAAATCCAATGTATTTAATGGGGATTCGTTTGGGAGAGGTTGTTATGATAAGCAAGCACACACCCTGGTATTCCTGGGCATTACCACCGTCTCTTTCCTGACTGCAGAAACAGGTAAGTTCCTCCCAGTCCCCCACCCCCCTTCAAATTTTCATTCAACTTTTCCAACTTTCATTCAAAACTCTTGTTTTTCTGTCCATGTTAATTTGATTCCTTTACCCTGGATGGCCGGATTCCAAACTGACAGATGCAATTCACTTGGATGCAGTGGCTGCCAGGTTCTTTTCTCTGAAGGGCTGGTCACTGACCCATGCAACCATTTCATCCTGGGCTGTCAGGCTGCTAAGTTCTCTGCTGGCTGGCAGCTGTCATTTCCCCATATTCTTGTTGTTGATTTAACAGTGGGCCGTTAAGACAATGACCTATCCCCTCTGCTTCACTCAGTCCTTGTATCTCCCAGTGGGTGACCTTTTGGATTCTGCCCAGGCTGGATGAAGCATGCTCCTCGGCCCAGAGCACTGTACAACTTTCCTTTCCTTCCCTTCTTTTTCCTTTCCTTTTACATCTTCAAATGGCAACAGGGATGCTGCTATTTTGTTTCTTCTATTTTTGTTTGTTCCCCCTTGCTACAAAGTTTCCATATACCTAGAGAAGAGGGGAAAAAGGAAAGAACAGCTTTATCTCCTGTTGCTTTCATCACTGAGCTGGCAGAGCAAGGATGATCATGCCACACAGGGAGAAAAGATCACTGTTACTATCAAAAATATTTTGCAGAACAGTGAGTAATTCAATGCATTCTATGCATCCAAACATCTGGGAAGGCAATGGCAAGAGCCTAGAATAAGTGGAGGAACAATAATACTTCAATGGTGGGCGCTGACATCATTTTACCTATTTTACCATTCACAGATATTACTATTTTGACCAAGAAGAGATTTGCAGTTAGTGAAGAATAGATTCAAGGAGTGTTGGTCATTTTTTATTATGTAGTAAAAATATTTTATTAGAATCTATCTTTACTTAGTATACATTTTGTTTTTGAGAAAAAAAAAATAAGGATGCTTAAATTATTTATATCTCCCCTTAACATTATATAAATGTTTTACTAAAATAAGAAAAGAACAATATCTGTGTATGCAAACTATCTTTTATTTAAAATACTTTGTATTATTTCTTTTTTTGAATAGACAAGAAACCCTTGTCTATTCAAGAAGATTTAGCACCACTGAATTTGTTTTTTTTAATTACTACACATGCATGTACAAGTAGAATTTATACACCTAAACTTTATTTATACTTTCCAATATTTTATCTTATTTCTGGTATAGATTATATTTCATTGATTTTTTGTATTCACATTTCATAAGCATTTTGTATTTGCAATGATACGAAAAATTTGAACAATTCCTGTATTAAATGGTGTGGTTTATCTTTCTTATTTGTAATCAAGTTACTTTTTTCCAAAATCCTCTAATTTCCTTCCAAAATCATAAGGCTGTATTGAAAAACTTTTTCATCAGGGAATGCTATTTTAAAAGTAGACTTTCTAATCCACTGGTTGCATTTTTCTAATGCTTTTAGATCCTTTTTGTTTTTAAACAGTGAAGCATATTCATATTAAATCAAGACATTTACATAGAATACCTATTTCTCCATTAATTTTTGCATGTCATACATGATATTTGCCAAAGCAAATGTCAGACATAACAATCTGTAAAATAAAATAAGTTGAACACTATATCATTTCACAGGATTGTGTAAAACATTGCAATCATGTGCCCTACAAGAAGGAGTAAACACAGGATATATCCCCACTTCCATTTATCACAGTGGGAATTTTTTTACTGAGCTTGATAGATTATCATAAAGGCTATTAAATAAAAAAGGTACATTTGATATATCAAATGTATATTCCATTCACAGATATCCTATCGGTGGTGGGATTCAAATATTTTTACCACCGGTTCAGTGGGCGTGGCTTGGTGGGCACACTTTGCTCACGTGCTCACACTTTACATGCGCGGGCGTGCCAAATGCGCACTTTGTGCCAGCGCAGAGGTATTTGCGCTGGTGCAAAGGCGTTCTAACTCACCTCCTACAAGCTTGCATGATCCTGATCGCTTCAGCAGCTGCTGCACAGCACTCTTCTGTGCCGCGCAAAGTAGCTGCGCTTCAAATTCAGCGGATAAAGGGGAGTATGGGAGCCTGGCCAGGCAGGTGGGCCCAACAGCAGAGCAGTGGAGAAAACCAGTTTGATCTCCGTTGCTCATCGCTGCTACTGGCTTGGCAGAACCAAGCCAAACCAGTAGAATACCACCACTGATCCCATCCCATTCGCAATTTTTAAATTCATTCTTGAGTGAGTCTCCCAAACATAATATGGGATATTATGGAAAGATATCCCATTCCCAACATAATACGGGATGGGATATCTTTCCATAACTTCCCAGCAGAATAAGTGTGCTGTCCAGCCAGTCTATGGGAATTGGATAGTTACTTAGGAATTATGAGCTGTCCCCTTAAGAGAATGCATCATGGTAAATGTAGTTAAGGTATCCTGGGAAATGTAGTCCATATCACGTGACCACATCTGTAATCCTGATTGGTTACTAAATTGTCCCTCGATGGGTAGGAGGAGTTTCCTCACTTTTGCCTGAACTCTCTAACTCATGGCAGCTGCTTTCTATCGCTACGAGATGGGTTAGGAGATAACCATCTTTTACTACAAGGCAGATATACAAAGGATTGGTCATTAAAGAAGAACTTCATCACAAATGTTGAGTTATGAGGATACCTGATGAACAAATAAATGTACTTTGTTATGGATGTTTTGTGGAGTTTATCTATCTGCATCTGCACAGCTCGCAAATCTATTACTTTGCAGGATACAGAAAAAAAAGGTTATTCTTGAATTTGATAAAAAGTGTCTTTTTCTCAGAGATTACCATTATTATTGCCACTAACAGTACAGCTATGTAACAGTGCAATTATGAAGTTCAAACCGAACAAGTATTGAAAGCTCTTGTGTTTTTTTAAAAAGTGTTTTTAAAAGCTTAATGGGTCCTTTGGAATAATGGCTAAATAAAACATTCTGTTCTCTTTATTAATAGTGATAAAGATCAGTGCTTTTTAATCTAGTTGTTCTTATTTCAGGCTCAGAGTTTTCAGACAGGTAAGTACACAAATCACAAGAGAGTACAAACTTTATTTATAGAAGCAGAGGAAGGACATGAATGAACAAAAACCTTGCTATCTGAAATTTCATTCTTGTTTATCACTCTAAACAGTATCTGCCATTCAGACACT